CTCGAGATATTTGCGATCGTCTTTCGAAATCCGGACTCCTTTATTTAAAGTAGACTTTATTGATTCATAATTTTGGCCGATAATACAATTGCGATTATCTCGAGATTGGATAATCCAAAATCAATGAATGTTAGCTCATTGGATTCGTCTAGTCGCGGCAATCGAATGGTAGTTGTTTCATACGAATCGGAATGATATTGACTAAGATCATACATCTTTTGTTTTTTTTGTTTTTTCTCTATATAAAAAACCATGTGATATGACATCATTTCGACCATTTCGACTTTTCACCTCCAATGGTCGAAATGATTTTGACCATTTCGACTATTTCAGATATCCAAAATGATCTATTTTGACTTTATGTATAGTCCCGATTGTTCCTATTAAACGCACTTGGAAAAGTAAATCCAGTAAGATGTGTTCTTGAACTCAGATTCCAATATGTCTCACATGGGCAATAACGATGCACAAAAGCCAGGGGCTTACATTAGAAAGGTCAAAATAGATCTTAAAAGTCGAGAGTTTGCTGCTGGTCTTTCGTTCGTTGCAGTGTCAAGAGTTCGTTCACTTAACTACATTTTTTCAAGTAGTTTACTTATGAAAGACTTCAACAGATTCAGAGTTGCACAAGATTACGAGAAAGGAAGGCCAAAGAAGAATGACTAATTTCTATGATAACGAACAACTGAAATATTTATTTTTTATTTTTTTATTTTTATTTTTATTTTTATTTTTATTGATGGTTTATTTGTTTATTTGAATTTAGTATAAAATGTAAATAAATTATAATAAATAATGTGCTCTTTTTACTAATTTAGAAATTATACTGATTGACTCAATTATTAAGTGGGAGGAATGCGGACATTTGAGTCAAATAGCACATAGAATTATATAGTCCTTCGTTACGCTTTGGACTAATAATTAAAAAATAAATATAATTAAAATAATACATATTTCAATTTTATTTTGCTTAATAAATACATTATTAGATATATTTTCTTCAAAAAAAATGGAATCAACCCATTATAAAGCATGTAAAAATCCTATATTACTTTTAGATTTATTTCCAAAAACTAATTAATAAGGAGGTTGACCAGTAATATGTTAAATAGTAGTATTTATTGTCCATAAAACAAATCTAAATCAAGACTCCATTTTTTATTATTATTTGCTTTTATCCATTTTCTAATTAATTTACTAATTTTATTATTAACTCTTTCAATTAATCCTTAAGATTGAGAATGTCTAAGCCTTTTATTAATAATTTTTAAATAATTCTATAAATGTAACAAATTTTTTATTATTTTAAATATAAATTCTCTTTTATTATCAGATTGAAGAGTTGTTAGTGGTCTAATTTCAGTAAACAATTCAAATAATTGTAATGTTAGTTTTTTTAGAAAGAAAAGAGAAAGCCCATGAAAATTAAGTAAAATGATCTTTAAAATTTTCATCAGAAAATCCTCTAAAATCAATCAAATCCATCTAAATTTTAATAAATTATTTTAGTTTTTAATATTTTAATATTTTATAACATTTTTTATAATTACAATACCTGTAAACAAGATAAATAATATCTAGTAATAATTGCTTTTTCTGCTACTTAATTACTAAATTTTTTGTTTATACGAATAGTACAAATAAAATAATTTTCACAAAAAAGTTCAACCAATTTTTTGTTCATATTATCCCATTTATTACACAATTTATCATATGTATTAGCTATTTTTTTGTGATTAACTTCAGTATTGGCTAAACAAATTATTTTATATATATTTTCTTTAATTAAAACTGGTAATAAAATTTTTGTTGAATTTATTTCTAGTACCTGCTATTCTATTGTTGAATGAAATATGTAAAACCTGATCATTTTCTACTATAATATAGCAAAAATGTGCTCTTGCCTATTTTTTAAAATTAGCATCTTATACATTCCTTCAAGCAAAATTTTTTTAATATCATCATATGTATTTTGATCAATTAAATGAATATTGTATTTGTTTTTATTTTTTAGAGAATTGTTATATTGAGCAATAAGTTCTTCAAAAACTTCAGGAGAAATAAAACTAAAAGCTTCCATTATTATTGTTATTAATGATTGTAAGGAAAAAAATTGGTAGCATTTTTTTTTAAAAAAAATTATATATATTTTGCATACTAAGATTAATTAGGAAATTAAATAATGTAAATCAATTTTGATAGGCTCAAAATGAACAATTGGGAGCGTTTAGGATATTATCCGAAGTGGTCATTTGGGATATCCGAAGTGAGCATTTGGGACATTATCCGATCATTTGGATATCCCAAGTGATTATTTGGGATAAATGCACATTTGGGGCTAAGCGCATGTCCGAAACGATCTTCCATTTGGGATATCCCAAATGCGCATTCCGATGAAAAAATCGAAAAAAATGTAAACGGAAATAATTCTTTTAAAAAAATCATTCTGCGTAGAAAGTCAACCTGAAAGAATATAAAATGAACATAATTCAATTGCTACAATTGCTGCAGCCTATCCCACCTAAAAAAAAAAAAAAAAAAATTAAAAATAAAAGAAGAAAAGTTCTATCACTTCAATTATGAACTAAAAATACGTAACAGAATAATATTTTTTTATCTTATTTTTAAAACTTAGTTTGAAAGAATATTTTCGGAAACATTTCAAAAATACTAAGTAAAATGGTACGATATTTTCAGCATTCTATTCTTTATGCTAAATAAATTCTCCCGTGTTTTGTTAATTTTGGTCAAACTAGTAATATTTTTTAAAATATCGTTTTTCAAAGAAAATGAATCTTAAATTTTAAAAATGCAGATTTAGGTCGTGTTCTGTCTGTATTGCCAGAAAATATAGTATTAAGTATTGGTCTTTATTTTTTACACAGGATATTTTTTTTATTGAGCTAATGTTGAAAATTAAATAATTTAATTTTTTTTGCGCGATTTAATTAGTACATTTCTTTGATATTCAAAGTCAGTTCTGATTATGCTCAAACAATAATTGAGACCTCCTATGTAACATTAATAGTTTAGGTCAAGGTCAAGCGTTTGCTTTTTTTATTAATATTATAATTTCCATAAAAGTTACTTCTTATAATTAAAATTAGTAATAACAATTGTAAGAAATTAAAAGCCCAAATATCGAAATATTTCGACGTTGGAGGTTCAAAGTCAAAATTAAAATCGAAATAAAATGAACATTTTATTTTATTTTATATATTAAATTCACTGTGATATGATTACGAACAGTTCTATATCCGGTTTCAATTATAATAATAGTTAAACAGATTCTAATATAATCAACTTATGAAATTACTATTTACGGCTTATTTCTTGTCTTGTAAAATCAATTTAAATCAATTTGATTGTCACCACACGTTTCATATAAATGTAACACAAATTTGATCAATCAAGTGATAGTTTGGGAAATAAGATCTTTATTTTTTTCAAATATAAAAGACTCAGATTCCAATTTACTCATAATTCAAGAAAATAAAAACATCTCACTATATTGACAGATTTTACTTCGAGATATATATATATATATATATATATTGCAAAAAAAATAATAATAATGAAACGAAATTTAACTTTTGTATTCTTTTTATTGTTTACTCTTTCCGTGATCAGAGCATTTCCACACCAACTTAAAAAGAGACTTACTGCCTTTGGTCTATGTCCTCCTAAAGATGGTACGACACCACCTTTAATCTCTGTAGAACTTGGTCCTGATCCTATTCTTCCAGGACAACAAGGTATTTTTGTTGTCACCGGAACTTTAGAGGAAGATATCATATCATCAACCCATCTTGTTGGTTATTATAGTAATCCTGATAATAGTCGCTCCGTAAGCGATAATTTTACTCAGTCATTTTGTGGTGGAAGTGGGTGTCCAATTAAAGCTAATACCCAATTTACGTCATACATGAGAACTATTGCACCAGAAATCTTAACTGTTCCATACGGCATTGTGGTATATATTGTAGATGTAACTAACAAAACAATAGGCTGCGCAACTGCCTTAATTCAGCTCTAATATTCTTTTTTATTTTTTATTTGTTAGTATTTTTTATTTTAACATCATTTTAAATTCGTGTTACCATAGGTGAAATGAAAATTATAACTAATTATGAACCGACGAGCAAAAACAGCATTAACGCCATAGATTTATAGATAATTTTTTTTCATCAATTCAACCAGTTATTCTGAGTTAAACACCTATAAATATGTAGTAACATTTAATTATTCTGAATAAGCTTTAATATATAACAGTTGCAAGTTTATTGACGAATAACGTCAAAAAAAAAAATTGAATAAAATACTGTCGGCGTAGTTGTTGGTTATCTTTACATGAAAATTGAAAAGGTTCGGAAAATTTCATATGTAGTGAGAATGCATACAAATTTTTTTTTTTGAACAATTGTTAAAATGTTCGGCAGTCGTGTGAAAATTTTTTTTCATGCACCACTTATTTCTTTTGTATTTTAGATTATATTTGGATAAGGTATCAAAATAAAATGTATCAAAATAAAATGTTTCAAAAATCAAAAACGAACGCCTTACTTCGTTCGTGAATTGATAAAAAGCCTAAAGAAAAAGGCGAAATATATCGATCGCCACTATCTAAAAAATTAAAATACAGTATTAGAATTAAAGAACAAAAATAATTGCTTCGACCCTCCAACACAGCGTTTATAAATGTAAACTTTAAAGAACTGAGAGTAACCCTAGTCTAAATTTGATTAATAAAGTGAAAATGATGCAAGAATTATTTAATATAACAATTAATTAGCCTCAACGTTGGCGCTCTGTACTTATTTATCAAATGAAAATCGTTGCGAAATCACTACGGCTAAATAAAAACTATTCTAAGAGGAATATCTGGAATTTCTAATCTTAAGAAATTAATGCTATCTATGCTATCTCCTTTCAACCTATCCAAAAATCCCCATTTTTATACCTTAATTTCGAAGGGACAAGTTTACTAGAGGACAATTTGGCCTATGCTTATCCCAAAGATAGGTAGGTCGCTAACCACTTTAAAAAAACAATGCGGGAAAATCAAATATTAATCATTAAAAAAAACAATACAACATTGTTCTTTTATTAAGTTATCATCGTAACATTATGCATGGTACATTATAAACTGCGGTAAATATTTGATATATGAACGGTAAAAATGATTGTTTTTTGTTTTAGAAATAATAGCAGAAACTTTTCCAACTAACAAAGTGGAAACGAAATTGATAAATGATTCTATTTGGATATAACGATAAGTATTAAATCATTAAAAAACAAAAAAAAAAGATACAGTAAACTAGGTAACGGAAGCCGTTAGAAAGTACGAAGCGAAAAACTCCCAATACTTAGGTTTGTGGTCATGGGATTATTTCGTAATTGTACAACAATTGTGACCAATAACAGATCGACTCAAATATTGAGCGGGGGGAATGGGGGACATATGAGCCATATGGCATAGAAGTATATAGTCCTTCGCTACGCTTCGGACTAATGAAATAAATCTTTAAATGTTTTAAGTAATTTCGTCGACAAATAAAAAATGCATCATTTTGAAAGACATCATTTATAAATTTCAAGTCAAAATGACCAAAGGTCATTCTATGAAAAAATAGTGTAGTGAATGACCTCATAATTTGCCCTCATTGATTCTTCTAGTGCATTTGTGAATGAACAATATCTAAAGCCAAATAAAGTTAAACTTCGATAGTCGAGGAGGTGTTACGTGCGTGTTGTAAGTCAATCAGCCATCAACTATTTACTTTTATGGCAAAAAATCAAAAGTTCCCTAATTAAACATGATAATTTTTTCGAAATCGAAAAGCTAATTAAGTTTTATTTTTATAATTATTATTTCATTAATTTTTTCATAAAAATGTTTTTCACTTGATAACATCATAAAGCTTATTAAATGTTCAACTTTATTGAAAAATCTTAAATATCTTAATAATTGCCATAAATTTATCAAATTCCAATTTGCCAATTTACGTATTGTAAAAAAAGAATTAAACTTAAAAAGTGAAAAATAATGTAATATAATGAGTAAATTATATGAAGAAAACGAAATAAATTATCTACAAAGGTACGAAAAGAGTATAATATCGAAATTATACTAAAACAAATAAACTTGAAGAGGAATATAAACTGTATTTTCTGAATTTTCCAATATAACGATTTAGCATATATAATCGATATTAATGAGATTAATGAGATTCTATATAAATCAATTAACGTTTAGAAAAAAAAATTTATTCATAATATTCGTTTGTTGCCAATTGACTTATTTCATGAAATCATTATCATTACAAAACGATGAGAAATCAATCACATAACGTCTTGGTAGAACCAAAGTTATAAATTCAAAGGATTAACGTTGAAGGATATCAAATTCTTTTACTAATGAAAAAATTGAATAAATAAATATTAGTAATTTTAAAATAATATTAGGATAGATGAGATATAAATAAATTAATATTTATTGGATTCATTAAAAACCAATTGTAAGAATTAAAGTACCTTATTTTTGTAGGTATAGATTATCATATTTTCTACAATTAAACTGAAACAACTATAAAATACATTATCTTAGCATAAATAAAGAAATGATTCAATATAAAAGAATTAAAATCTTTTATTAAAATATAAATAAAAATTTTGGTTTATTATAAAAAATGATTTTTGAATTTTACATAAGAACTATCTGAAAACCCATCTTTGCCTAAGAAATTCTTTTTTTCTCTTGTAAAACTACATATCTTTTTATTGAAAAATTATGTATTTGTCTATGCTTTTAAAGGGTCTTGAAAAATACTTTAATTTTAAGACGAAACTCATGTATATATGATATGTTGAAGAATAAAAATAATTCATTAAACATGAAAATATTAATTGAAACTAATAATGCATTTGATATTACGTAATTTAGTTTCTTGTTGTATAAAGAAATAAGTGAACAAACATAAAATGAAGTAGTGCGATAATGGTTACAATAATTTCAGTTTAATATAGTATGGAAATAATTTTTATTTTTTTGATATACCGTGAATAACCTCTAGATCATATAGCTCCTGTAATTACTTTTTGGTGGACTTAAAGACTTCTAAGATGTTAAAGCTATAATAATTAAACAACTCGATTTGATTGGACTGACCCGTAAAATATCATCAAGTTTTTCCATCACTTGCATTTCATAAACTGCAGATTTGGTTAGAAATTACAATATTGTAGTTTATTGTATGTGACTATCTAAATGAATAGTTATAAAGATTTGTTGTTATATTATAGGAAATATGATGCAAACATATGACCCCTCTATTATCGAATAATTTATTTATTAATATTAGAAGTTATTGATTAATCACAAATCCTCAAACCATCAAATATTTCAAATAATTCGTTAAAAATTCCAGATAATTCAAATATAATGGAATAGTGGAATTTTTAAAACTACAATTTTTATATGGCATTAAAAAAAATAAATACTGAGAATTATTTTATTACTAATTCAATAATTAGTAAAAAATATTATGGAGATATTTCCGTTAAAAGTAAAAATCCTAAAATTTATAAATTCGACAACATTTTCTTTATTTTTATTTTGCACGCTATTTAAATATTGACTAAAATTGTGGCAAGTCTTTGGTCTCACAAGCAATTATAATACATTATTTTACAATTTCCTCCAGATTATTTATTTCCTCCGGGACAAATTTTATTTATAAAATTTAAATTTCAAGTTAATTTCACAAGAGAAGTGATTCATAGCTTTAGTAAATATTTTTATTCAAATGTATATTACTTTAATGTTAAGTTTTGGACTACCAAAATTACTACTAGACAAAGGACAAATTGTCATCCGCCCAAAATTTCAACTTTGTATAATGTTCACCAGTTAATTTTTCTACCGGACGAATTGTCCTTTGAAAATAAAGATGTAAAAATAATGGCATTTGAGAACGGATTTCAGAAGAGTAATTTCCAAGTAATTTTAATATAGCCGTTTAATAAATTAGATAGACGTTGAGGCAGTACTTTATATTAAATAAATCTTCACCATACTTAATAAAAGACCTCCTTCTTTCTTTTCAACTGAGCGTAACATTACTTTGGCACCTTAAGGACGCAAATAGATTTAGGTAAAGAAATAAATTAAAACTAAATGTAACTATTTTTTTATAGGCTACTGCGTCATAATTTGTTTATTTTGATATTTGTAAAGTCCTGTAACGGTAATTTGTTTAAATGATTAAATATGGTGATAAGTTGTCAAATATCTGAATAATATAGATAAAAATGTTAGTTTCTAAATCTCCAATTAGCCACAATTTATATTTATAATACTAACAAGTTTCTACCAATGAAGTATAGTGGTTCTTTACTTATAATATTAAAGCAAGGTAAACAAAAGCTTATTTATGTTTTGCAATTAAATTTATTAATAATAATGCTAACATAAATAAAGCACTTCCTCATTATCAGTCAGTGAAATATGTTTTTTTATTTAAAGTTTCATTAAATGCGAAGAAAAAAACTCCATACTAAAATGAATACTATCTTAATTCTTATCAACATGCCTTTTTCTTTAGACGAAACCTCCATTTTTATATTAAAAATTTATTATGCATATACTTAAAATGATTTTTTTTATAACTTTTCAAAAAAAAAAAATAAAGAAACTTGATTACGGGTTATTACAAATAAATAAAAGATTCTAATAGAGTTTCAGTTATTAGATATTGGGGTGTTGATTTTTAAATATTTAGGTTTAATATTTGTTAAGGAATTGGGAAAATTTGGTAAACTAATAATTTGAGTATTAAAGCAAAAGAGTTTTGCCAAGGAATTGGGTAAAGTTGGTAAGCTGGTTATTTGAGTATCGTTACATAGTATTATTAAGGAATGTGGTAAAGTTGGTAAGCAAGTAATTTGAGTACCATCACAATAGAGTTTCGTTAAGGAATCGGGTAATGTTGGTAAGCTGATTATTTGAGTATTAGAGCAACTGAGAAACGTTAAGGA